GGGGGTGCAGGCTTTGGGAGGGAGTTGAGGGCAGGAGGGGGTGTGTGGGAAGGGGGAGGGGGTTTGGGAGGGAGTTTGGGGATAGGAGGGGATGCAGGGGTGAGGGCTGTGGGTCTGAGGATGAGAGGTTCATGATGCAGGAGGGGGCTCAGGGCTGGGGCAGAGGATTAGGGTGCGGGGGGATGAGGGTTGGGGCTGAGGATGAGGATGAGGGGTTCATGATGCAGGAGGGGGCTCAGGGCTGGGGCAGAGGATTAGGGTGCAGGGGGATGAGGGCTGGGGCTGGGGCTGAGGGGTTTGGGGCGTTGGAGAAGCTCGGGGCTAGGGTGGAAGGGCAGGGTAAGGGCAGCCTGTCTTCCCATTAGTGGATGGGGGACGCTAGGATCCGGGGGCAGCAAACAGCAGTTGCTGCTGGCTCTGGCAGTACAAGCAGGCAAGGGAGAGGCAGGGAAGGGAGGGGTCACGGGGGGGACGGACGCGCGGAGGGGGGGTAGCAGGTGGAGGCCGGGGACCCATCCAACACTCCCCCACTCCCTGACTGCCCCCCCCAGACTCCCCTTACCATTCTGGCTCCACGTGTTTGCAAAACACGCTGCCCGGTGGGTCGGTTTGTGTGTTACACAGGGCGGCAGACAGAGGGAGGGGGGAGCAGGGGAGGGCTCTGGCTGCTGGAGGCCAATGGGAGCAGCTCAATCGGCCAAGCCGCCCAATCAGCAGCCGCACTCTGCATGGAAGGGAGGGAGGGAGGCGAGGGAGAAACCCCCCCCGGACATTTTAACCTTGTTACCAATTCCTCCCGGACGGCTATTTAGAGACACAAAAGCCGGACATGTCCAGGGAAATATGGACGGATGGTAACCCTAGAGAAGCTGGGCCCAGAGAGACACACCCTATGGCTCCCCAGCCCATGCTCCCTGGGGCGTGGGCACCAGGATTTGGCTGAGCAGGTGCCTAGAGCCTGAGGGTAGAGATGGCTCTCCGTGGGGGGCAGATGAGGTGTCCATGCTAGGCTGCATCGCCAGCTTCCCAGAGCTCTTCCCACCTGCGGCAAGGATTGTTCTGTGTGCCCGTGTCATTGCCCGGGCACAGGGCCCTCAGACATGCCCAGGGTGTGGCTGCAGCCCGTCATGTTAGCAGAGGCCAGCGGGGGAGCCGGAAGTCCGTGGAACTGCATTTGGGCCTATCTCATCTGTACGTTTACACTGAGACCCCAGGCTGCCAGTAGGATTCAAATGGCCCATTACTAGTAGCATTAATGGGAAATCCCAGTCGCAGAGCTTTGTGACACAGGCTCCCTAGTGGTGGGGCAGGAGGTGCTGTGACCATCCTGGGGGGTGGGACTTCCTGTGTTCCCTCCTCGCACTTCCTGCTGTCTCCCTGGAAACCCAAGGTGATTCCCCCCCTCCCTCTGCAGATAAATCACTATTTGCATTGCAAAATTTCGCCATACAAAGAGCCAGTTTCCCAGGCGCAGAATGCACAAACATTTCCCCATCTGTCCCAGGCTGGAATTCTCCCCGGAACACCCCCCTTTGGTGCAAAGGTGCCATTGCCCCGTGAGGACCCGTTCTCATGAAAACCGAATGGTTTGCCCTGCTCCAATGAAGGCCACCAGCAGGGCTGATGTGTTGAGGGGTCTGGGCGGAGAATCCGGATTCTTGTTGCTCATCATGGTCCTTTGCCCTGCCAGGATTTCCTGGGCCAGGCGTTCTGCACATTGGGGGAGATCGTCGGCTCGGCAGGAAGCCGCCTGGAGAAGCCGCTGATGTGAGTGCTGGGAGTGCTCAGGGCAAAGGGCACGTGCGTGTGGGGCCAGCAGGGCAGGGGCAGGCGGCTTGGCCCTTCACGGTGCCCCGTGCTGCTCAGTGAGGGGTTTGAGCTCCAGGGGTTAACAAGGAAGGCGGCCCAGTGGAGTCACTCCTGATTTACATGGGGGAGAGCAATGTGGGGACCAGGCCCAGTGGGTTACTCCTGATTTCCACTGGGATGAGTGCAAGGGGAATCAGCCCAGTGGAGTTACTCCTGGTTTACACGGGGGTGAGTGCGAGGGGAATCAGGCCAGTGGGTCACTCCTGGTTTACGGGGGGTGAGTGCGACGGGAATCGGGTCAGTGGGGTTACTCCTGGTTTACACAGGGGTGAGTGCAAGGGGAATCAGGCCAGTGGGTTACTTCTGGGTACATGGGGTGAGTGCGAGGGACATCGGCCCAGTGGGCTACTCCTGGTTTACACAGGGGTGAGTGTGAGGGGAATCGGGCCAGTGGGGTTACTCCTGGTTTACACGGGGGTGAGTGCGAGGGGAATCGGGCCAGTGGGTTACTTCTGGGTTACATGGGGGTGAGTGCGAGGGACATCGGCCCAGTGGGTTACTCCTGGTTTACACGGGGCTGAGTGCGAGGGGAATCGGGCCAGTGGGTTACTCCTGGGTTACACCCGGTGGCTGAGGGCGGGGACGAGGCGCTGTGTTTGTCTGTACCATGTAGAGTCAGGAACAGATTCACAGCCACTGTGGGCTGCTGGAGACATCGGGATCATACAACATCATCCTGGTGATTCTCCCCTGGTTCCCCCCTTGCCTCTCATTCCCTGAGGTCTTGATATGATCAATCCAGAGCCAGCAGGTGTTTTCCTCCTGTGCTCGGCCTCTGGCGGGCAGGTGAGGCTTTGCTAGCTTGGGCAGCGCGAGGCTGAGGGTGTAAATAGGACCGAGAGACTGAGGGCTGGCCTGTGTCCCCTGCTGTAAATCCAGAGCAACTCGGACTCTACTGTGCTCGTCCACCTGCCCCTTCTCTCCCCGACTGCTGGCCTCCACCTGCCTTTGCCTCACACGCCCAGCGGCCAGAACCACACTGGCCGCCTCGGCCCAGCGCCGCCAGGGCCAGCAAGGCACCTTGGGAATGAGTCAGTATCAGGTGCTCCGGGGGGGAAGGATGGGCCAGGGGTTCACGAGCCCTGAGTCCTAGTGCCGGCTCCTCCCAAAACTCCCTGGATAAGTCACTAGCCCGGCTGCGCTGTGCTCCCAGCTGTGCACGGGGGACAGTGCCCTGCACGAGGGGTGTGCGAATTCTTACACTAGAGCAGGGATCGGCAACCTTTCAGAAGTGGTGTGCCGAGTCTTCATTTATTCACTTTAATTTAAGGTTCCGCGTGCCAGTAATACATTTTAATGTTTTTAGAAGGTCTCTTTCTCTAGTCTATAATATATAACTAAACTATTGTTGTATGTAAAGTAAATGAGGTTTTTAAAATGTTTAAGAAGCTTCATTTAAAATTACATTAAAATGCAAAGCCCCCCGGACCTGTGGCCAGGACCCGGGCAGTGTGAGTGCCACTGAAAATCAGCTCGCGTGCCGCCTTCGGCCATAGGTTGCCTACCCCTGGACTAGAGAACAGGGGTTGGGAGGCACGATGGCGCTAGGGGCCAGTGATCAGTCGCTAGGGGATAATGCAATTCCCCAAGGATCACCATGGCAACCTCTGCTGGATTTCTGGGCATCTTCAGCCACTGAAAAGGACTCCGGTGTTGAAAGCCGATCTGATGTATGCTGTTCACTGCTCCTTGCTGATGGAGAAAGGAGACCTCGAGGGGGGTGATTTGAGGCGTTTGTTTTTCTCCCTTTGAAATCTTGGGAATGTCAAGCCTGGCTTTCCCAGCTTTTGCTGGATATCTCCTCAGGGGACCCAGAGCTGTGGATTGGGTACCTGAAACTGATGGAGCGATGGTGCCAAGACATTAACAAAGATCACTTTTCTCCCAAGAGTTTCTCAGGCATTTGAGTTAAATACCCATTAACCCCCATTGACCAGCCTGACCAACTGTCCCTTCTCCCCTCAGTGGCCGAAGTTTCATTTCCTTGGTACCTGCAAAGTCATAATCCTGCTAGCTTTCCAGCCATCCCAAGAGAGCGCCAGGCAAAGCTGGGTAGGGCGGATGAGACCTGAATTTCCAATGTAACAAACAAGCAGGCAAATCTTTTAAGAAAACACTTTTCAGACCTTCTTTGTCTGATAGGAAATGCCCAACTCCCCCGCCGCGGACCACCCCAGGGCTAATAAACCAAGTCAGGCATGCAGAGTCATTCTTCCTGGGGCCTTTCGCGCCCCTGCACAGCATCAGTGGAGCTGGCAAATGCCCGGTGCCAGGCCGGCATGTGGAGCTGACAGTGCTGGGGTGTCAGTCCCAGGTGGAGCAGGGCTTTGCTGACCTGTGTCAGAGGCAGGAAGCGCATGTGGCTTGCTTTGAAATGGGAGGTGGGACTGGTCTCCCCAGCTGTGCCCGCCTGTCCATCACAGCAGAAGAGGGAGAGCCCTGGATGTCAGCCACCCGCATGAGGCCCGAGAAGCCTGCCATCCGCTGCTCCCTGGGCAGGGTGGGTGTGTCTGGCACTGGCTGTCACTCTGCTGCAGGATGTCCCTCCGGGTTTCCCTGCCCCTCCACAGGCCTGATTGACCAAGCATAGGGCTGTGTCACACCATGAAGCACTCTCCTGGCCCTAGATGTGCAGGGAAAGAGGGGCCAATGGTCAGGACCTGGCTCCAATTCCCTCTCAGCCCTGGACTCGCGTGTGACCTAGGCAAGTCACGCAGGGTTCGTCTCTGTTTGACCTGCTCACGCCACCCCCTGAAAATAGCAGGGTGGCTCGGGCCAGCTGCCCGCGTACTGGCTCAGCTGGGATTGCAGCTCAAGCAGAGCTGGCGTGAGTCCGTGTAGGCCAGCTGAGAATCCCACCTCCCCCTTAGTCTGTCTGTGCTAGACCCCCACGTCTCCACTGGGGATAACAGCTCTGTCCTGGGGCACGGGCCGGGGGAGGGGAAAGATTGTGACCTGCTCAGATACTGCAGTGACTGGGACAGTGGAAACACCACTGGTGAGTGGCCAGGTCCTGAGATGGACTAAATCCGTCTGGCTCCTAAGGATCGGTCACTGATTGCAATGGACCTGCCCCCATTTACAGCTGGGCCCCCCAGTGCAGCTGCCATTCAGTGAAGGGGGATCTGTTTCCCTGGAGAGGAGCGTTTCCCATTTGAAATGCCCTGGATGGCTCAGTGTCCCCGCTGCTCCCAGCGCCCCGCCAGGGACCCGCAGATCAGACCCAGAGGATTGTCACAGTGCTTAATAAGAACAGTTCTGGGGAGCGGGGTGAGGCAGAGAGGGGGCTGCATGGCAGGTAAGCTCATTTAGCTCCCGCAGCCAGTGCCGGGCTGGAGTTACGGGGGAGGGGAAGGAATTTTTTTCTCTTATTTTAAGGCTACCTGCAACCCTTCAGAATTGCTCCTGGTGGGTTCATTTCACTCAAACTAGCAGGAGCTTGCGTTAGATCAGCTGAGAATTCCCCATGGCAGGAGGGGCTTTGCTGCCCCAACTGATGGACTGGATGCCAAATTCTGTTTATTGCATGTGTGCGAGAGCGAGCAAGAGAGCACCTGTGTGTGTGTGCGTGCATATGTGTTCGTGTGTGTGTGTGTGCGTGCATGTGCGTGTGTGTATGCATGCATATGTGTTTGTGTGCGTGGGTGGGTGTGTGCGTGCATGGGTGTGTGACACAGAACATACCATTAGTGGCTGTTATTATTATACATATTTATTTGGAGCCCATTTGGACACCTCCCAAAGCTTCATTTGAGCCGGCTAAGATGTTGCTGAGCCAGAGCAAACCCCCTGCTGGGTGCAGCATTCCCAGCCAGCAGGAATTAATCCATTGTCAAGGCCAAAAGAGCCAGGGCTTGCAGTTCTTTTGGAGAGGGGCAGGTTCCTGTCAATCCGTTGCTGGGCTCCCCAGCAGCTCACGAACACTGGTGAAATAACCATCAATGCCAGTGCTACAGATGGGGAAACTGAGGCTCAGAGATGTGGTCAGGGTCACACGGGAAGCCAGGAATTGAAGGAACCATCCTTCCTCCTTTTCCCACCCCTGCCCCCCAACAGATCTCTGCGGCAGGGGCCTGCTCCGGGGACTGCTCCACCATCAGCCCTGCCCTGGCATGCTTGCCCCAGTGAGAGCGCACACAAGTGTGCCTGCCTGGGGGAGCGGGCGGGACCGAGCTGCGCGTGCTGGGGCAGGGCTGTAACCATTCACTGGGGTGAGAGACCTACCTGCCGTGGGTCTCCTGGCCGGCTTCCAGACCTGCCAGGCCATTGCAGCACAAGCCCAGCAGGGCAGCCAGCATCCCCCTCCCCTGCCTGCCAGCACTGCCCCCCATGCCAGCCCCTGCTTCTCCTGACCCCAGCCACTGGATGGTGCTGTGCACAGCCAGGACATCCTGATGGGCAGGGTCCTGTAGAGCACATAGCCTGGCCTGGCGTGGTGAGTGCGCAGGGAGGTGGGCAGGGAGCCAGCCCAGCCATGGTGTGTGGAGGGTTTGCAGACTCTGGCTGCTGTTGGGTTTTTCAGTAACACTCACCCAGCGCTCGCTCCCCAAAAGACGTTTTACGAAGCGACCAAAACTGATTCGACAGGAAGCCAAGGGCTGGGGTCCTGGAGGGCACAGAGATGGGAGCATCACTGTGAGCCACCTGCCGGCCCTGCAGCTGGGAATGTATTCAGAAAGGTGGGCGAGGTGAACTCACATTAAACTAGCTTCCTGGCTCTGCAGGCTGGGAAGAGTCTTGGTAACATGACCAGTTCCCTAGAGCCTGGTTGGGGCTGGAGACAGCCAGCTTGAGGGAAGGGGAACCTTCCCCAGTCACTTGCTGGGACGCCAGCTCTAAGACCAGTTATGGTCATTATCTATCTATCTATCTATCTATCTTAGGTGATAGGGCCACCT